TATATATTCTCTATCAATATATTTTTGTATAAATCTAGGATTAATTCAATTGATTAAGAAGTCTTGATATCAAAGATAGATGATATATATTCTTAATGGTAATTTTATTGAGTTTTCAAATCTATATACATCCATAGTAATCCATCATTTTTCTTTACGAATAAGACATAAGCTCCTATTAGAGATTTTAAATAGTATAAGAAGTTCTTAACTAGATTGTTCATAATATAAGTAAAATCTTTCTTAATGATGTCAAGTCTTTTCTTGCTTACTAAGGAATTTGAAACATACTATATTAATTTGCATTACTTCTAACCTTGATGAATAAATTTATAAAAAATTTAGAATTTATTGTCATAAATTAATTTATATTCTTTCAATCAAATCTTTATTTTTTGCCTCTTTCAAAAAGTTAATTGTTGTATAGAATGGCTTGAGCAATAAATTGATCATATAAATTTGTTTTTGACACTATCAACAATAAATTTCAGATTTTATCTTTCAAGTCATATCAAAATTGATTGAAAAAGACTTTGTCATTATAATCCACCTTGCAAGTAAGGATTTGAAATTTAACAACTTATGTAGTGGCTGAACGTGATCCGTATCATAAATATGAAACTTTGGTCTTTGTTATCTTTTTTTAAAGACTCTTTTTAAATATTTCCATAAATACTTATAAGAATGAATTCAAATTATAAAAGAGTCATGAATCTTTTTTCATCAAAGATAAAAACTAAGAGCAAACACATCTCAATAGAAGTACACCTATGAACCTAACTTGAGTAAATCTATTAAAATATTAAAAAGATGCAATCATAGATAGAGCTTCACTTGTTGTAGGAATCCTTAAAATTTAGATCTTATTCCATCAAACTTTTCTATCATACTTATACTTGCCTCTTTTATATTTTTTATAGCAAGACATCTCAGATCCAATTATAATATTGATCTATTAGATGCTCTTATCTAAAGAATTTTTTAGCATGGACTTTAAATTATATTATTAACTTCTTTCATAGATAAAGGAATAACACTTCCGTGGTTGATATTAATAATACATGAAATTTTTATCCTAAGAATATTGAGAAGCTTGTAAAAATCTGCAATAATTACAAATATATTTTCATTTCTACCAAATATAGCATCCATACTTTTTTCTACCATATCTATAACAAATTACTTAAATAATTTCACAAGTTAAATTAGAGGAAGATAATTTGTAAACTCTAATATTAAATAAAAATTTCTAAAAAAAATAGTGGTTTATTCTCTTTAAAAAAATATTTAATAATAATAATAATAATAATTAAAGATAGATAGTCTGCAATCTTTAAAATACAATAAAAGAAGTGAGATAATCCACTTATTTCTGAAATAAAACAAAAAAATTAATTTAGCAATATTATTAAGCTATTAAGGATATGAATCGTAAAGAATCAAAATATCAATATACTCTTCTATCACTAAAAAAGAATAGAAAATTATTTAAAGATGGTATAACATTAAATTAAAACAACCATTGTTAAAAAAAAAAAAAAAAAAAAAAAAAAAAAACTAGAGACTCTTGAAACAAGATTAATAGTAAAAAATGACATTCATAAGAGTAAAGAAGGTTTCACTCTTGCTTCTATATATACTCTCTAAATAGGAGCTATATAGTGACATTCTATAAGATCTCTAATATGTGTCTAACTTGTAAGGTAAATTTTTTCCATATGCAACACAAAATCAATTTTATATCATGAGTTGTCAATATGTGCAATATATGTCCAACTTGTTGGTCAATTCTCAATTCTATTAATCAACTACAAACATGTCTAAAATTAAATCCATATCTATGTAGCTTCTAAAAATTTTTACCTCAAGATATTATCAAATCTATCTTCATTTACATTCTACCTAATACTTCTAATTTTGATAATCATATATATCCATGACAATCAATTAAATAAAAAAATATCTAAAAAATATCTATAATGCTTTTCGGACATAGATTAAATTTATATATAAAACATTTTAAAAATTCCATAAGAAAAATTATTTTAAAAAGAACTAAGATGAACAATGGCCAAAAAATAAATCTAAGAATTGTTGATATTCTTTAATAGTTCTTCTATTATAGTAAAGATATTTTCTTCTATTGAAATATTTTTTCTATCACATTATAAAGTTTAATCCTCTAATAGATTCTATATTGGGATTTTATTATTGATTTTTTTATTTTCTCTATTGGATATTTACTTCATAAGTATTATCTATTGATTATTCTTATAGATATGCTATATGATTAGTATAAAGGCATGTCACAACTTAAATATTTGGCTTGTAAATCTCATAGCTCTTATAAAGCTTTTACATGTCTTTTTTACTATATAGTGTATATAGAGACATGACTAAAATCATTTTCAATCTTATTCATGTGTTTTTTATTTTCTAATCTTGATTCAATCTTCTTTAGTTTTTTTATTTAGCAATAGATTATATATATATATATATATATATATATATATATATATATGTGTGTGTGTGTGTGTGTGTGTGTGTGTATGTGATTATTCAATAAAAAAAAATTAAAATAAATGTTGACCAAGTTTAAAATATATATACACAAAACAATGGAACCAATTATTAGCAAATACAATTTGTAGTTACTGCAACAACTTAATAACTAAATTCAATAAATTTTAACCAAGCCACAAATTTTACAACTAGTTTTTATTTTTTAAAATGGTATACTTAATTATTTGTGATAATTATGATTTTGAAAAATAATAAAATAAAGATAGGAAGCTTGAAGTCAATGACATCCTTGCAAATTATATATATATATATATATATATATATATATATATATACACAATGCATTACAACTCTTGCTAATATTATTGTAGAGTTTTATTAATTTTGATGCATAAGATTATAAAGATGTTTTTTATTTAATTGAATTTTAAATGACATAGTAAATAAGAAATTCAACTTATAAATATATTTTTTGATAGAATAATTTTAAAATAACACATAAAGGATTCATAAAAAAAAGTAATGTATATATATTGTGTGGAAATTTTTCATACATGTGAAATCATGTGATTTTTATGATATTTAGTAATATCAACCTCTATTGTAAGTCTTTTGAAAACCATTGAAATTGGAAAGAGCACTTGCTTTAAAATCAATTACTTGAAGAAGTAGAAGAAAAATAAAATGAAATAAACTAATAATTTGATATAAATAATTAATACTAAGAAATAATATTTTTTATTTAATATAATAAATAATTACCATAAAATATAAAAATCAATAATTACCATAAAATATAAAAAATCAATAAGATTTTTGTTATTCCTAATATTGTTTAAAAAAACGTATTGCAAAAATAATATAAATATAAATTTTATTTTTTAAGTTATATTTATTATTATTAGAAAGAAACTCATATTATTGAGCACAAAAAAAATACAACATTTAAATATTCTATATAAAAAATCAACAACTCCTAAAGAAATATTAATATATATATATATATATATATATATTTCAAATAGAAATTGGACCCTTTACATTTCTTTAGTGTTATTAGAAAAGAAAAATTTTATTTTTTTGATAGTTAAAATAGCTAGTTTAATAAAAAAATATTATAATAAACTAAATTTATTGTGTTATTTTAGATTTATTATTTTATAAATAAAGAATATTAATTGTATTTCTTTGTATTTATTAAGAAGTGCATTGTAAAAGGACAATATAATTTTTTACAATGTGAAAAGATAACATATGATTTTATATTGTGGAAGAGCAACTTTCATTTTTAAATTGGATAAGGACAACATGTGTTTTTAGCCAATAAGAAGACTTCTTTGTCTCAACCAATAGGCCAATGAAGTGGCTTTTTTTTTATCTCTTTGTATTATAACTAAGCTTTCTTATTATATAGATATGTATGTGTCTATGTGTGTGTGCATATGTGTGTAATTTGAGTACATTTTGTAGATTTATTTCTTTGATAATTATACTAACTTAGAAAAAACAACAACCTCTAACAAGGTTACTTTAATTTCTTACTTTTTCAGTTTTGATCTTTCATTATTATCATTATTATTATTTATTTTATATAATTTTGATATGTTTTAAAAATATATATAACATAGATTATTGAAATTTATTTTATTTTAACTTATTTCACTTATATACTTTTACAAAAGTTAACGAATCTACTAATTTATATGTTTTTGTGTGTAAAACATTTACCTACTCTCAAAAAGTTCATTAATCTTTTAAACACCATAATAATAAAACAAACAAGGACAATAAAAAATAAATAAAAAACACCAAAAAAACAAACAAAATAAGATACAAGATTTTTATTTTTAAAATTATTAATTAAAACAAAGCTGTTTCTTTTGCTCATAAGGTAAAATTCTACATACACATGTAAATTAAACATATAACATATAATATATCTATTTTATATATAGATATATATATATATCAAAAAATGGTTTGTAAATCATTTTTTTCAAATAGATGTTTTACAAACCATCAGTACATACATCCAAAAAATCAAATTAAAGGAATAATTGCTCAATAGTCCATTATAATCAAACATCACAAATGGTTTTAAAGAAGCTGTTTATACGTTGAATTTAATCAAAATAATATACAGAATTCAAATTTAGACACCAAACTCTTTGGCTTAAAGAACTAACATTATCGATGAAACAAACCACACTTTCATTAATAATAATAAATACCTATTTAATTTCACAAAATATTTTTCCTTTTCTATTTGTAATAATAATAATAACAACAATAATAACTCTAGCACAGGTTATGTGTTTACAAAAAGATTAAAGAAAGAATTCGAACACCCACGCCAAGCTTCGGAGAGGTTGCGGGGGAGGGAAGATTCCTGAGCCTCGGGGAATTGCGGGAGGGAGTGAATGAGTTGGAGTGAGTGAGTTGGAGCATCGTCCTTGCCGAGCTGGCGGAGTCCCGCTTTGTCGGCGAAGGGCGCGGGGATCACACCGCAGAGTTGGAAAAGCAATTCAATGCGATGGTCGGTCTCTCCTGGAATGTGAAGTTGGGCTGCGAGGAGGAGGAGCGTATGTAGGTTGGAAGGTTTGTCATGCGTACAACAGCCAGATACTTTGAGTGTGGGAGCGCGCGCGTCGTTTGACTCAAGGTTGCTTCTCACATTTTTGAATTCCAGTCTACCTGAAGATTGATGAATGCTAGACTCTGATCTGCCAATCGACCGGTCATGGCAGCGGGCTGGTTTCAATTTCTTGCCACGGCCTAGAATCATTCCAGTGCATAGCAGGGGTTGGATATTCTCGTGCACGGTTATCGACCATGGAGATTTCGAAGTTCGTGCTCGGAAATGCTGGAACATAGGATCTATTGATGAAAGCGTGCATTCGAGCGGGCTGAACACTTCTGGTCGTAATTGGAGAGGCTCGTGGGAAATATTCACGCACAACTATTTCGTTCCTTTCCGGATCTCTACTTGCGTTATTGATTCTGCTTGTTATTGAATGAGTAGTTGAAAGTGTAAGTATTTGGAGGATCACTCTAAAGCTGCAAGATGATGATGGAAGCCAGTTGTTTCAGTACCGCTTGTGACGTTTATATCATCTGAACTGTGCGCATGGAGGATTTGCGAGACCTTTGCTCTTTAGTAGGTTTTGAGTTTTAGAATTGGTGGTGGTCGGTTATGAGTTTCGTGGTTGGTGATTGGCAAGTATTCTCTCTTTAAAATGGCGAAAGCTGCTGCCCTGGTCAGTATCATCTTTCACGAAAGACGAAGTGAAATATGCCAATGAGACGAGCTATGGAGTATGTGCGCTGGGAGGTGAATAATTGGCGGATTCAAGGATATGGAAGAGAGAGGTCGATATTTACTGGAGCAAAGAAGGTTGTCAGTTTCATGTGGCAATCTTGGAAATGCGGAGCATCATTTGTACTGGTGTTGGCGTTTTTCCCTGTTTTATTGCCCTTGGCTTTGTTCTTAGGTTTTGTGGGCTTTCTTTTCTCGGTTCCTCTTTTTTGTGGAGCTGCAACGTATTACCTCTTCTTCCGGAGCTTTTCTCTTCCCTCATGCATCACAGAGTGGTTTGGTATTTTCAGATTCCCACTTGAAGGTTACAGTCCAGGTTCACCGTCTGGTGAGAAGCTTGAGTTTCAGAATGTGTTGAAACTGAACGCTTCCCTTGAGGATTATCATAGAATTAGTGAATCAGAAGCGGCATCAAACAAATCTACGCCGTGCCATTTTAATGGGGTGTTACAAGCTCCAGCACCTGTAATTGTACTTCAACCAACTAACTTAAAAAGTCAACAGCGTCAGCGGACTGACGAGAGAATTGAGGAGAATATCGAAGCAGAAGCTTTCAACAGAAAAGTTGCTGATGTATCGGTCAATAAGTGCTCAAGTTCGTACCACCAAGTAGCACCGGCTGGTAGCATGGTTTATCCAGATGTAGAGGAGGGTGCATTTTACTCTAATCGAGCCTATGCACGTTCAAGTTCTGCATTGCATTCTTTAGGGTCGAATTATGTTGTTCTGGACCGCGGACCGGTTGACTCTCCACTTACAAGGTTCCATGCATCAGGTGAACAGAAAACATCTTCCGATATCGGTGAATTAATTGAGGATGAACTCATTTGTAAACTGCCTATCCTTCCAAGTGAGAATACTAAATTAAGTTCGGAGATTTCAGCGACGGACATCCCTTTGAGCAGGCCACCTGAAGAGAATCATATCTGCGATTTAGTACGTGGTAACGCTCAGACTACTGAGAGAAGACATAGAACTGTGTCTATTGAACACAATGCAAGAATTGATCCTGTCGGTGTATCGTCAGGAATATCAGGGTATTTCTGTGGACACAGCTCGGGTGGAAACGATAATGGAGCGTGGGATAATGCTGAGATTTCTGAGGTTAGCATCGAAGCAACTTCATGCTCAAACGTGCATGCATCAAGTGAAGAAGCCAAGGCATTAACAGTTGTCTCCCACGTGCCACAAACGTCTAGTTTGATAGCTACGTCATATGCAGAAGCACTCACTTGCAAGTCTGTCAACGAGAAAAGTGAGTGTTTCATTCAGGAGTCGATTTCAGAACTCTCTTCATGTATATCAAAGGACTTTGATGAATCATCGATGAAGTCTTCTTCCAGTCCATTCTCTTGTTCAGCGCTGCTTAGAACTGTTGAAGGTATCTCTCGTGTTGATTCAGAATTCGTTACACACAAGCATCGTGCCAGACATTGGAGAGAAGAAGTTGAGGAAACAGTATTATCATCTGCTATTGCAAGGATAACCTATGCGAGGAACTGGGGTTCACAAGTATCAGATGACGAGGCCGATGTCAAGATGTTTGATAGTAAACTGAAAACGATGACGAATGACCAAGACATTGTCTATCTGTTGGAATGTACCGAAGGAACAGAAGTGTTCTCAGCTTCGCAATTACCGAATCCAATTCAATACAAAGAGAAAACGGTTGCTGAAGAAAATGCGAGGACTAGTTCGTATCTGAGCATGACATCAACACCATGCACGCACCAAAGGCGACTCAGTTATGGAGGTGTACTTACAGATGACACAAGGGTGAATGTAGGATCTGCTATTCCGAGAAATAAATCCAGTGGATTTACACCTGATTATAAGCAACAGACTGTTCACGCTTCATTCTCCTCGGATTACACATGGCCGTCAGAGTCTTCTGAACAAGAGTGGGAAGTCCAGTCAAATCGAGGAACTGCATGTGAGGAATCTTGTGTAGATACTGCTTCAAGTGCTGAAGAGTACGAGGAAGAATTTGATCCGAAACCTGACCTTGTGTCGGATCCATCTTCTACGTTTTCAAGCTATTTTCTAACTCTGGACCAATTTACTGAGGATTGGGAGACTCGAAGGAAAAGATGGGTGAAGGAATCAACGCTGGGAAGATTGGTACCCTTTGCACCATGTTTGGAAACTCAATATATTCAAACGCGCTCTATGTGCAATCCTCTTTTTGAATTCTCATCTCCGTCGCCGCCCCCCAGAAAGCTCGACACTGAAGATAAGAATCACATTTCTGACCTTCCTTGTCACACTCGTTTCAGCAAGCGTCATTCAGCTCCCTCTGAGATTATAGGGACACCAGATTCACATCGATGCAAGCTTGGAAATTGGATGGGTGGCAATCACACAAAACAATTTGAAAGTGAATGCTTGGGTCGGACACCATCTTTAAGGGGCCATGGCCGATCCTACTCAGCTTCGTTTATGGAGAGTATCGAGCTTAATCCTGGTGAATTTGAAGGCACGCTTACGAATTGGTGGAGGGATTAAAGCACTCTCTCGATCACTTCACCATTTCAATTCTCCAACTTCATCTACTGAACAGGTTGCGCACCGCAGTTTGGAAGAGGTTAACACCATCCAGATGACAGATAGACAGAATTCTTCTTCACCTAAAAAGAAGTGGAGACTTTAGCAGATAAATAGTTGCTGCGCTCCCTTGTGCATGGGAGATATACGAGACTTGAGTCCAGCGAGGCAAGGACTAGATCATCTGAAAAGTGTAGCAAGTAACCGATGGGATGTAGAGTTAAAAGGTATCGATATGAAACGAGTAAGAAGCAAAATTGTTTGTGGATTTATTTTAGGTCTATCACGTAGCTCTCAGACCATAAGCGTGCGTTTAAACCCTTCAGCATTGTTGTGATGGTAGAGGTAATCACTGACTGTCGCAACCTTTCTATTTTTATTCAAACTTGTGAGCCCTTAAATCACTGTCAAGCAAGGAATTTTTGGTGTTCAAAAACATTTACATTACCACTCTCCATTTTTTCTACACATGACGTGTGAGAGCTTTTGTGGAGTGTGCGTAGCAGGTAGGTAGGCATCAGCATCATCAGACTGCATAAGCTGCTGCAACTCACAAGACATTAATGAAGCTCTCTTGCAGCTGAAGCAGATGAAGCTAAGTGACTGGCCGAGTTGACTCTGGGAGCAGTCCTGTCCATATCGCCTGTATGGAGAGAAGATGGTCAAGATACTGAAACCCCTAAAGCTGTCTGGATGGCGAAAGCAAACTAACTCAAATGAAGATATTTATAGTTGGGATAGTGAGATCGAGTAATGGGATGGAAACGGGTTCAACATATCTCCGACAGCATGCTTCAGGGTGGCTTTGGTGACCCCCATCGTTAATTTTACTCTGCGACATTCCCCTCGTGAGTATGGCCCGCCGGACGAGTAGCTTGTGACATGAATCGTATGCAGATATCGGACTGCCACTTTCCGTGCTACAGTTGTACTTCTCATAGTATGCACCACGGGTATATTCTGATGTGCACGATGCAGAATATCAGGGCGTCCACTTCAATCGGATTGAAAGTTAATCTTATTCAAGATGTTAGCTGCTGTCGGCCATGCATCGCTGCAAGGTCTTCCTTACGCCACTCTTGAGACACTGCCTTGATTGTCATTTCTTCCCGCGTCACTGTCATCGTCATTGGGCAATTGCGAAGGCCAAGTGCCATGTCTCGATCTGGTTATTGAAGGACCAAGCGGAGAGAATAGAGAAGTTTGTGCATGACCACTCTTCTCCCACTCAGTAATAAAGACATCACCGCGTGTGTATTTCAAGAAAAATTCTTATCGTATCATAATTGATAGCTAAAATATTATTTTGGTATAAATCAGAACGAATTCAGCATGCTTATTCATTTCACCGTGTCGATAGACGCGACTGCCACCGCCAAATGTGAAGCTCTATGAAAAGTAACGTTAATTTACATCTGCTAACACGAAGCTACAAAAGTTACACCACAGGAATGTGAGTTTAGGCTCTGCGGTACTCATCTCCACAATCTCCGATCACATCTTGCAGATTCTTTCCCCTCTTGGTGACACTCGCAATCCTAGCGTAATCGTCCTGATCTAGCTGCAACTTGAAAATTTCTTGAGAATCTCTAATATGGTCTTTGAGCCCTAGTCTTACACCAATCATAGAGCCAGCCACCGCAGGTTGGTCTAGAACGTAACGTACGGCAACAGCGGACATGGATACCCCATGTTTGTTCGATACATACTTAACCTCTCGCAGAAGCTCTTGAAATAGTTTCCATCCACCCCAAGCATCAACCATCCGCTTGTACTTGTTGAGGGAAGGAGTGTCTAGAGGCGGTCCGGCAAATGGAATGGAAACATTAACATCCAAAAATTTCTCCGAAAGTAAACCACCCATCACAGTGCCGTAAGTGATTAGTTTCACTCCCGTAACGTTGCAAAGATCTGCCATATAATTCTGAGGACGCATGTCCACAAGCGAATGCTGTACTTGATTGCTTACAATGGGGATTTGGTTCTCTAAAATCACCTGCAATCTCTTTGTGTCAAAATTGGTCAAGGCAAGCGTCTTGATCTTACCCTCCAATTTCAAGTCGGTCAAGTGCTTTAAAGCGTCCAGGTAACCCTTGTCTGAATAGTCCCACCAGTGAAACTGAAGCATGTCCAAGGACTTCACATCCATGCGTTTGCGAGAGCGATCTATGTTTGACTCCACAAATGCCCGGGTCATCTTCACTGGCGGTGGCACCCATTTTGTCAACCCACGCACTTGAGACTCAAGCTCATCTCCCCGTTCCCGCCGGACTCTATTGATGAAAATGCCATACAAGTCCTCCGCTGGTCCGTCTGCAACATCATCGAGCCAAGTGAACAAGGGCAATGAGGACATAGTGAACAAAATTTTACAAGTGACTGCAATTTAGCGTATCGGAATTGGAATGTCAAAAAAATGAATAAAAACCTAAAAAAACATATCCACAGCTCAAGATCGACCATTAAATATTCACATAACATTTGGATTCAGCAGGATTCGTGATCACTCATGTACACTGCAGACATTCAAACAATTGCATAGCGCGATAGACCTCCTAAGCCAGACTCCCCGTAGAAACACAATTCCCGTCAATGTTGGAGCAGTAGAGAAACAAGGATGGCTAGAATACGTACCCTACCTAAGGAATTGAACAAAGAACATGCTGTACAATTATCGATTAAAAACAAGATTAGCTTACAATGATCAGCCATGTCGAAGGTAGTGAATCCGGCATCCACATGGCGAAACATGGCGTCCACAGCCGGGCCCGGCTCAATTTTGCCCCAGCCCCCGCTAGTCTGCCACATTCCATTAATTACACGAACAATCTCCAGTTGATCATCGCCACTGGAAACAATGGCACGGTCTGGAGGCAGCTCGGGTTTCCGCTCGGCCGTCATCACTTCCGCCCTCACCGAAGTGGCAAGCCTCCTCTCATTGACCTGCACCCTCGACTTGAAACTCGGCTGCACCAACTTCGTTCCTGACAATACAGCCACAGACGACGCAACAGGGTGCCGGGAGAGAGTAGCGGACGCCATCGATAGCCTTACGCCTCAAATCAATCCCTCTCTCGCCAATGACTCAACTCTCTATCACGAAATTCCAGTTCTAGATACGCGAATTTCTGAAACGATAAAGGAAAAAAAGAACAAAAGATAATGTTGTGAGCACGACGTGAATTGATGCCTCCGGATATGATATGAGGGGTGCCGACGAGATTGCAAAAGTGGAAATTACACCTCGTAGCCTGAAGAAGATTTTTTCATCGGAAACCAGGAATTCAATCCTCCTGCTAAACCAAATGGCTCCGCAGCGGAGACACTCACAACTCACTACACAGCCACCATCAGAATATCATTCTTCGCTCGCTAATGTCGATGGTGTTGGAGGACTGGGAGAAATGGCGATGACGTTGCCATGCGCCACAACTGGAAAGAGAGACTCTGTGGTGGATTCGCGAAGAAGAAGAAGAAGACGAAGATAAAGTGCCGCAATCTAATCCGGGTGTGCCTGCTGGTCTTCTGAGATTCAGCGTGGTCTGAGTACCTCCACCGGCGCACTGTAAACCGGCCTCTATCACTATAATTTCCTATACGGGTCGCCGTCTCTAACACCTGACTGGGTTTTCAATGGGTTAAATAAAGTTATCGTCAGAATAATAATTCATGATTTGGTCATTTTATCATTTTTAGCTTATTTTTTTATTTCAACTTGATGATGAAAAATAAAAAATAAAAATCGTTTTTTTTATTTCCTTCTTTTCTTTTCCCTCCTTGTCCAATAGATTTTCATTCATTCCATTTTTTGATTTTTTGAAAGTTAATAAAGTGATTTTTTTTATTTTTTATTTTCAAATTGAAACTCTGTGAACAAGGAAATGGAAGAAATATATATTTTTATTGGTTCTTCTATATTTTTATAATTTATTGTTACTATTTAATTCTATTGGATGGTTCATTTGAAGGTTTCACCAATTGATCTTTCAATTAATTAGATGCACATTACTATGTATGTAGTTTTGTTTTACGACGAGTTATATGTTCTAATCAAATAAATAAATAACCTTGTTTTTTGACTGCATATACCTACAATTATTTTTTAGTCAGGTACTAGAAAACATGTATAAGTATAGATTTTAATTACTTATTTATCAGCAGAATAGGATTTAAAATTTGTATAATCAGAAATACTCTAGGATTCGTACATGCGATCAATATTCCAGAAATTCGATGGCTGAAAATAACAACAAAATCAACAGCAAAAATTCGTGTTGACTTCCTTTCATATAGTACTGACTCTATTGACTAGGTTTAGTACAATGACTTATCATTTCTTAAAATTTTTTAATTTTTATCTAATAAACTACAGGATTCGGTGAAATAAATAAGTGAGTTGTATCCCAAAAATTCCGCCGAAGAAGATGTTTTAGTTGTAGCTTTTTAAGAATGTACCTTGCACAACTATGTTGTCTTAGTCGCACAATCAACACCACATATTTAATTTGAAGTAATTCAGACAATAGTATGAGAGTAAAAACTAAATAAGGAATCACATTCTAATAATCAACTATAGTTGCTAAATAAAGAAGTGAGTTTCTTCTCCTTTTCTTTTCTCAATTACTGATTCTATTATAGAAGTTGTCAACTTTCTAACTTGTACACAAAAGTAAATCAAATGAGCGCCAACCTGAAGTTGGTTAAAATAGGCCACACCTTGTCTTTAACCTCAATGTCACTTTGGAAGATGAAAGTTTGGTTAGAGCTTGGTGTATTTAGATATAATATATTATAGTGATTTTATTTTTGTTTATCACATGGGACAAAACTACTATATTATCCAAGGCAAGTAATCAAAATTAACATTAAAACAGTTACAATAATTTTTCATTAACAAAAAATCAAATATAAACATGATGAAATTTTATCTTTTAAGAATAATAAATGGATGCCAAAATTAGTTATAATGCACAATAATTTAAATGAGAAACCCATCTATGAACAATATTTTTAATTCATATTGTAATTATGCACTAATGTTCTTGTAGAAAAAAGTGGTATTTTATCTTTGTGTTGTTAGCAATAAAATGTAACTTTTTTTTTTTAACAATATAAATATCTCAGTGTGTGTTCACATTATATCATGCACATGTATTTTTGGTTTGCCTACATTTATTGACAATTTTTATTAATGTTGTAACATAATATTATGGTTGTATAGTTGTTTATATTAAAACACTTTAATTTTTTTTAAATATTAAACATAATTTTTTATTTAAAAAATGTCAATATTTAATGCTAACATTGCAAGAGTCTACATATACAAGAGTACTTCCTTAGTATTTGTTAGAATATTGAAAAAATTATAAGCATGATAATAGTGATAATAATTGTTCATCTATGACAATCTAAACCTTGTCTTACAAAGTCACTAGAAAGATGAACTCCTACACAAAAGAATATAATGTCATAGACGGATCCAAAAAAAACCTTATGTTATATCAATTTACAATAAAACATTTGCGCCCTAGTTCCCATTAATTTTTGTATGCACAAACTGTATTGTTAGAAGTATTCCTCTATGACTCTAGCTAACATGATTAGGAGCATGCATTACATGGCTGTAAAACTTTCAAAATGTCATAGGAGGCTATAACATTTATAGGTTTATTTAGTTTAGTTTTTTTTAGTTTTTTTTTTTTTTTAACATGCTACTATGTGAAACGTGTGTAATTTTAGAATAAAATAAATTTATGATTTATTTATTTATTTTACTTAAACACTATATTTTTGATGTTTGTAGCAACATAACATACTGCTTAAACATATCCTTAAAACTTGCAAACAGAACAACATCATCAGTGCGACATGACCCCCTTAGCATGAACAAAATGGACTATTTTTTTTATACTAATTTAAGATTTGACAATTAGCATGTTATTATTGAATACACAAATCTTCTTATGTGTAAGCAATTTTGTGTACAATTTCTATTGTAACTGGATCTCAAATCTAGCTAAATGGTCAAAGACAAGTTTTCAAAATGAATATGTACAAGACAAAAACAATTATACTTGAAACAAGTTGTATTTGACATATACCAAATTTAAAAAGTAACCCTACATTAAAGAAAATTCAATCTAGAAAAGTTGTTAATTGCATCAACAAATTTCATTGTAATTATAACTTTCTTATACCTTCTTTTTGCATGCTCGCTTTGGACTTACAAAAGTATTGAATGTCAAGTTATCATTCAATTTTACACCCACAACTACAATCCACAACAATTTCCTACCTTTTTGGTTTAAAAGTAATACCAATATATTGTGCTAGCCATCCCACACATTTGCTATAGAATAGTAGAATTTTCAATGCAAAACCCTAGCACTTGCCTCATCTTATCCAATACTTGCATTGGCAAAACACAATGAAACACAACAACCTTTTATATTGCACAACATGTTACATTGTAATTACATTCTAAGAATTATATGCTTAGCACTTTTTCCCGACAAATGTTTTGAGCAAAATAGACTTTGGCTTGTCCTTCTTTGAGGTTAATGGAAAAGTTTTATTTCATTTTATTTTAATAATAATAATAATAATAATAATTGTGGGAAAGCCCATGCTAAAGATTTTATTAGTCAATGAGGTCCTTCATGAGATGACTGGAAACTGTTTTTGACTGAGAAAGATTTTAATATTTTTTTTATGAGTAAAATAGTGTGTGTGACATCAGTAGGTATATAGTTACAGTTCTTGCAGGGTTTGAAAGTTTTGTCAGCATTGTGGGTTTTTTTTAAAAATGAAAAATGAAAGAAAGTAGACATGATTCAAACTTAAGGATTAGTAACTCTTCTGCCAAATACTAACTTTATTTATCTGTTTATTTACAATTTTATACGGGTAACAGATTGCAATTGACAATAGTTAAACAAATATCATTAAAGGAATGCAAGGTTGTCTTGTTTTCTTTGGAAAATTTCAAACAGCAATAACTCAAATTTTATTTTTAGCTAATCATTGTGATATCTGAGAGTATGACCATTTTTAAAACAGCCAATACTTACTAAAAAAGACATCCCAAAGTCAATTGAATCAATGATTTAGTTTATTAAAAGTATAATATTTAAATGTAGCATGGTGTAAAACATAAGTTACAATAAAATTACATACTTATTGCAATCTGCTTTGATGACATTTACAAGAACCACTCAAAAAGTTAATTATATAGGAAAATACAAAATTTGAATAGAAACTTCATAACAAAGACTTTTTATTTATATTCCATCTGGTGGTTTTTGTTTGAGTTTTTAAAAAGTACAATTAATTAATAGATATAAACACACACATGTAGATGTATGTATGCAAAGACAATAGTTTAATCATTTGTTTCTTTAAAATCATATTGTGTTTTTCATAATAATAAATAACATGTGTTATCTTTACAATATTTACAAGTTGGAAAGATGCCAAATACATACAACTGTACAAATAGTTACCAATTTATAAAATTTGTTGATAATTTAAGTATGATATTCTCATAATTTGTTAATTTATTTATGTATTTAATATTTTAGAAAGTAAAAATTAAAATGTTGTTTTTCACATCATCACGATTCGTCAACAATGATACCAAAAATAAAAAAACATATGTAACCTTAATTTCTGCTTTACATCTTATTAAAACCATTATTTATTTTTGCTTTCAGAACATAAGAAAAGACGTCCAAAGATTTTTATAAATTACTTCGACAGAAAAAAACAGTAATAATAATTCTTGAATATAAATTGTATCTTGAAAAGTAAATTGAACTTTTTTATAAAAAAATTTGACGTTTAAGTATCTGGAAATAAAAAATAAAAAATAACGAATGTTTGTGTGAGTATGAATGTATTTGACAAGTTATTTTTGTTATAAAAAGAAAAAGCATCTGAAACTGAGGTCAATGCATGATATTTGCGCTTTTAGGAGTTTGCACCTAAAAGTTGTTTTCATTCATTGGACATTTATGACATAAAGTTCGCTCAATTAAAACGCTCAGGGCAACACTCTAACTTATATTGAACAAAAAAGGAAGAGACTTATGCTTACAAAGAAGCATAAAGGCATGACGGATTGTTAAGAGGGAAAAGAAGAATAGCATTTTCAGTTTGATATTGTTACAAAAAATAAATTAATATGTACCATCAGAAGGATTGTCAGTGTAGAAATATTTAGATGGCATTGTAAAAGAATATATATATATATATATATATATCTGCACTAAAAATATTTTTTTAATTTTTAATTTTTAATTTCTTAAATGATTGAAGTAACCTAGAATTTTTTCGAAATTATCTTTAAAATTTTGAAGTACAGTTCTTGTGGACTTCTTTGATTTACACCACATGAGACAAAGCTTTTGTAGTCAAGTTCCTTTGCCTTGCTAAATATTTATCTAAGTGGACCCCTTGTAATATTAACATTATTTGACCAAGTTGTTAAGTTCATTGAAGCTCTTGAAACAATTGTTTTAGAAATTGTAGAATTGTGGAGTTTATTTTGGAGGTAATTTGAAGAATTCAAACATTACCCAAAGTTCTAACATATTCCAAAACACAACTTATTTATTTAAAAACCAAGTATTGATACTATTGTGTTTTTGTGTGAAAAAGTTAGAGATATTAAATAAGAAAATAAGAAAACAATTTAAAATTTTGTATTAGAGATAGGTTATTGAAATTTACTTTATAATAAGTTGGTATTAAAAAAATTGGCAATTAGTATATTAAGAGTTTATTGCATATTTTAAACAATCATGTTATAAAAAAGGTGTAATCCTCAAATTCATATTAGTGAGCCAATTAGCTACATATATATTCTTGAACAGAAACGAAATATCACGTCTAGATTCTTTTGCATATTCTAGTAGTATAGATTTTATTTTAAATATTTCAATATAATGTTGTTCAATAAAATTCTTTGCATATTTAGGTCAATTAAATATGTGTGAAAAATAAATAAAAATGTGACAATAACAAGAGCATGAATTTATACAATATCAAATATTCAAGTTCTCATCCACGGAATATAACATTCATCCGAGGGTGGAGCTGAGGGGAAAGTTCTGACACGGAACTGTCACCTTGTGGGCTTCATACGGAACGCAATGGAAAAGCTGAAAGGGAAACCTCAAAGCTCGGTGCATCCATAACTGGCTCCGAACAGAAATAGTGTCACAATTTTGAACTTACGTATGAACAGCAGCCCTACATTCAAGTATATATATACCGTATTGTATTATACTACATCGTAATATACGGAATATTCGAGTGTTGTCTCCTGTACTCTCCACTGGTCAGTTACTAATTACACCTCTGCCTGGTTGGTAGTTCAAAACTCCAAACCACTACACCGAAAGCCGCCCGAATATCTATTCGATTTCCAAATTTTTGTCTATCAATGAAAATAGTATAGAATTTGGTAGGAACTGTCGGATTATGAGTTGAAGATGTTTCAACTCGTCTACAAATCGTGAAGATGATTCACATTAAATATTTTCGCATCGTAATCTACATTCACTCCAGACGTAGATAATTCGAAGCTGCGTTTAATTAATGCTTCCCTGAATTCCTTGTTCCGGTCATGATTACGCGTCAAATATGTAGCGAAGGCGTGGAATCCTTTGTTGTAGATTGTGAAAGGGTTGCGGGACGCGAAGATGTAACGAGGATTGATGGGGGTCGATAGATAGATCTAGAGGGGGTGGGGGGTTTTTTGAGAGAGCGTGAGAGCGGGGGTGTGTGAGAAGAAGTGGCTATGGCAAGATGGGGAAGGAGGGCTCGGGGGTTTGTGCAGGTTGAAGCATTTTTGTGCAAGCGTGGATAGCGCACTTGGTAGTGTAGGCCCTGATGTCGCACGCTCGATTGTAGCCAGCTTTGAATTCTGTTGCAGTGCTCTTTTGCAGGTGTCTGTGCTTTGAACCTCGAGAAGTTGCGCCGTTAGGTTGAATATGAACTTTTTCTGCTGTGTGCACGAGGAAGGGCCGGAAACAAGATCGAGGAGGAAGCTGGAGGCAATGAGGTGTTCTTGATCATGCAGGGAGGGGCTAGGGCGCGCTCTGTGTTCTGTTCCTTAGGGAAGGCTGGTTGCGGTCCTGGAAATGCAAAGGGGATAGCTGATGCGGTCATGTTTGGAGGAGGAATGGAGTAGGAGAGAGTGGACGATGTCGGGGCGAGGTTTTGAATGGCGATAGTGTAGGAGTGTGTGCAGATTGTATTCATGCCTTGAGTCTGCGGGTTATTGAGGAGCTGCTAATTTGGAAAAGACGTGGCAGTAGCTATGGAGCTGTGAGTGGTTGTCATTTTGCACTTACAGGTGGTTGCCAGTCAGGTTAATGTGGAATCGAGGAAGTATGCTACTGGACGAAGATAATCACTGCGTTCGCAATGCATCGGGCTATTCACCCCGTTCCTCAGGCACGAAGCAATCAAAACCTCGTGGTGGTAGTGTACAAGCTCGATTAGCGGGTCTTATTCGCTCTTAATTATTTTTCGGAAGGAAGTAGAGAGGAAGCTGTACTGTCTACTCTATAATTGAACATCCGCAGGTCTGTTGAAATATTCCCGCTAGAATGGTGGTCGTTTTCATCGTATGATGCACCTATCCTGGCGGTTCTCACGGACTTTGTTTATTTTTCTTCTCATGGACGTAGTACGATAGTTTCTGGTGCTGGTTTCTGTCAAATACGAGTACTCTCCAACTCTTTCAAAAAGACAGTGGAGAAGATTTGAACTACTGTCAAAGTTTTGCACATGGATTGTAGAGAGAGTATTCGTTTTATAAACAACGCGTCTGTGAGGGTTGCCACGGTAATGTGAACTGACGAAAGTTCAATGTTAACGAGAGAAAATCCATAGTCTCGAATCAGAGCTGAGATCGACCTACGGTACTCTGGGACCAAATTTTTAAGAAGCAGTGCTGTGAAGTAGAGGCTCATCCTCTCGGTTGCTGAGAATGAGTTTTTGAATCTAGATTCGCCATGTGGCGCTCATGATGTCCCTAGCTCGTCAGATAACTTAGCAAGGGTTCGGTTTACGGAACTATCTTCGACAAGTGGTCCAAGTAGCTCAATTAGGGAGTGATTGCCCGTTCTGCTGACCAGTGGAGCACCTTAATGGTTGCCTCTGATGATTTTAGTTAAAGACGATGAGTTGTTTGCCCCAAACTCACATCACCCATTCTGGTACACTCGGGCAATTATAAATCAATACTTGTTTTTGATTAGGGATCTTTGGTTCGTTTTCCGGTCGATTTACTTGTAAAATAGTGCATGATTAATCGGTTTGATATTAGTAGTGAGTTTTTTTTCTTGCTTCTTGGTGTTGATTTTTGTGCCCCTGCAATTCATGTGATTTTTTTATTTTATTTTATTTTTATTTTTTATATGACCGCTATTCACTAAATGTTACTGGATTTGGACTTCCAGGTTGAGACTGCAGCATGTTATTGTGGGGGAGTAGATGCAGGTTTGTCAGTGGGCGGAAGAAGATTTGTGCCAGGGCGGACTGTGGGTCATTGTGTTAGACCAGATATTAAACCTACCATAAATCTGCCAAAGAAGCCAGCACGAGGCGAAAGACGTAATCCCCCTGAACTGTTACCAGGCCTTCCGGACGACCTAGCAATTGCTTGCCTCATTCGAGTACCTAGACTTCACCACCGAAAACTGCGTGTTGTCTGTAAAAGATGGGATCGTCTTCTTGCTGGCAACTTCTTCTATTCTCTTCGTCGTCGACTTGGTATGGCAGAAGAGTGGGTCTATGTCATCAAACGAGATCGTGATGGTCGCATCTCATGGCATGCTTTTGATCCTAGGTACTCACTTACTAGGTTCTTAGTCAGCGTATTTGGTGCGAGTGTTCGTTGGTTTGAAGTTCTTTCAAATATCGAGTAATTATTATATTTTATTATTTTATGTTTGCGTACACATGATATCCATGACCTGCAATGCCTCGTTGTTTGAGCAGATGTTTCTACAGCGGTTTGTACTGCTCAATCAAGTTTGATGTGATGTGCCAGCAACTTTAAGCATACTGCCCCTTGTGCATCATAGGTTCTTGGTCATACATCAACTTTCTTTCATGCTCGCCTTAAGGTGTTAATTGGATTCTGCAGGTATCAGCTTTGGCAGCCTCTGCCACCCGTCCCAGTTGAGTACTCAGAAGCACTCGGCTTTGGATGTGCTGTTTTGAGTGGGTGCCATTTATATCTTTTTGGCGGGAAGGACCCTTTGAAGGGGTCCATGCGTCGAGTTGTCTATTACAGTGCACGTACAAATAAGTGGCATCGTTCCCAACCTATGCAGAGGAAACGACATTTCTTTGGCTTCTGTGTCATAAATAACTGCTTGTATGTGGCGGGAGGGGAGTGTGAAGGAAGTCAAAGATCCCTACGGTCTGCGGAAATGTATGATCCAAACAGAAACAGGTGGTATTCTATCTCCGACATGAGCACAACTATGGTTCCCTTCATTGGAGTTGTATATGGTGGAAGGTGAGTTTGTATTTATATCAGAAGCATGCTTGTTTTTCACTATTATCTACGCACTGTGTGTGCGCATTTCATTCTCAGATTATGATATTACACATTAGTGCTGCTTTCTTTTACAATGATCCTTTGGGTCGTTGCTTAATACCTCAGATCCTGAGATGTCCTTATCGTCCTGTTGAGAAGTTAAGCGGCTGATGTGTTTAGGTTTTCTCCTATCCCTACTAGATATATTTTTTAATATAGCAGGTACTTGTGTGAGACTTGATGAGGTAGGGATACTTGGAATGCACCATTGGAGCTGAACTAGTGAACCTGGAATTGCAGGTGGTTTCTAAAGGGTTCAGGATCTCACAGGCAGGTGATGAGTGAAGTCTATGTGCCAGCGACGAATCACTGGACTCCTGTCATGGATGGAATGGTTGCTGGGTGGCGGAACCCCTGTGTTGAGCTCCATGGTAATTTATATGCTTTGGACTGTCGGGATGGGTGCAAATTACGGATGTATGACCGGGATACTGATGCGTGGAGCCGATCTGTTGATAGCCGTTTTCATCTTGGAGGTTCTCGAGCTATGGAAGCTGTTGCTTTGGTGCCCTTAGGAGGGAAGCTATGCATTATTCGGAACAACATGAGTATTACTCTGGTTGATGTAGCCAGTGCGGACATACCTGAAAAGCAGGGACAAATATGGGAAACGCTCTCTGGAAAGGGGCAATTCAAGTCATTTGTGACCAATCTCTGGTCCAACCTTGCAGGTCGAAACCGGATAAAATCGCACATTGTGCACTGCCAAGTGCTGCAAGCCTAAGCTCCAACGGAGCAAGGGCACCGCTTGGGTGTATCATTCTTGTTATTCTTTTTCTGGTCTCATTTTCCTTATCATAATTCACAATCTCAAAACCAGATTTTTCCTCGTATCATTGGGGTTGATACAGCAGCTGTCATTCTGATGATAGAAAGTTTGTTACTTTGGTCCCTCACATGGCTTCTTGAATTTGGGAAAGAATAAGCATAGCAATCCGAAGTTAGCTTTATGCCATTTTCAAATTCAGGTCTGGCAGAAATGTTGCCAGACAATTCACCAATGCTGCTGGAATTTCAATTGGCAATTTTAATTTATCTGGTTTGATGTTACTGACCCATCGCTTTGATGGTTGTTGAATCTGATGTCATTTGTTGCTTGCGCTGTGTTTCTGCTAAGAGTGGGAACAGAAACCATCTCGTACATGCTACAGGAGCCCGTGTCTTGGTTTAAGTTTCAGGCACATGCGTATGAAAGTGTGATGGAAATTGATTGATTTGAGTCTGACCTACCAGGATGGAGGCTAATGCTCAGATAACAATTATGAATCTGGTACTGAAACTAATGTTCAGGTAACCCCCAAAGATCCTTCATTTTTGTCGCAAACTGAAAGTGCTTCGATATGTTAGGCTTGAGGATCTCTTAAGTTGCAATCTGGATCAAACATATACTAAGAATACATCATTTATACTCAAAGGAAGTTAATTTGCATATTTTAAATAGTTAAAAGTAAACGGAGTACATGTTAACCATTCTCGTTAAAGAAAGATTACTATATTACAGTGAACTTGAATAGTTGCAAGGATGGTAGAAATTATCCTCAAGTGCTATGTAACCTCATTTCTGATATGATATTCTTGACAATAATGTGAAAAAATTGCAAAACATTAATGTTGCCTTGAGTTTTGTAATCAAGGTGTGTTAATAACGGAGATATAAAACGTACTGTGTTCACGGTAATTGGTTTAACTCGAGTAGAGTATGTATATCCAGCAAAGGAAATTTTTGTACTGCTTTGTCAACATATTAATGAAGTGCAAGAAATGCAAGTTGTTTTTAGAATTGTCTTGTGAGTGGATCTCTGCCATGGAACCAGACTGTACGATGTTCGGGAGGGTTTGAAAGGAATGAAACCTTGCAAGTACATGTCACACGGAAGTACTCTGTGGAAGATTTGGCAAGATCCTCCATCTTGCAATTCCAAAAAAAATCCTGCATTTCTTTTGTTCATATATGTATACACATATAACAACTTTTATTTTAAAATTTTGATTTGGAAGATTTTACACTTATAAGTCTACTTTGAAAGCAAATGGTTCAAATCTTTATCAATGTGACTTATCTGGTGAAGAAAAGCCCTTGTTTGGAAGCCTTGATTTTTGGATATGGTATAAAGTGGCTTCATAAATCAACCAAATAATTATTTTAATATAAACCTATTTTAATATGCCAGCTCATAACTTAATTCAAACAATCAAGATGAGTATTAAAAAAAAAGCCAGTTTCTTAATTTTTGATGGTTATTTGAAAACTTTGCATGATTTCTCAAACTTTTTAAAAAACTAACATCTGAGATGGGCCTAGTAGAAATTTTGGGGGCCGAAACTATTGATGCCATGTAAGAAGAAAGAACATTCTATCTCAACAATTCACTTAAAAATCAATGATTTCTCAAGTATAAAGTCAACTTCATAATTTCAACTTCTTCAGAGCAACTTTGAAAAGGTTTTCAGAGTTGTTACCCTTATTTTCTTCTAAAAGTGTTAAGATCCCCTTAGCCAGTTAGGAAGAATGCTGTTTATTCTGTAGTTTGGTCCACGATGGACGAGGTGTACTTGTTTTCTCACCACTTGTTGAATTATATTCATTGTTTTGATGATGTGATAAAGACGTGTGTTTGTTGAGACCAGCTTGAGTGACTTTGAAGACTTTGAAAACTAGCAAATTGAAGTGAAGGTTATGAATAATATAAAGATGGTGATAGGAATTTTTTCCTTCACACTGTGGCCTTGGGTACTCCATGGCCATGTAGCCTTAATAAGTGACAACAACAGGTGTAATAATTACTTGATTGATTGAGTTTTCTCTCTGATGGAAGATGTCAATATGACAAAATATAAAAAGGATAACATACACTGATTTTGATTTGTAGGGTTCAATGTGACATTATAATTTTGCAAAAGGAGGTTTATGTGAGGGAAAAGATACATTATAATTTTGCAAAAAGAGATTAATACAAGGGATTTGACACATTATGATTTTGCAAACAGAGGTTATTGCAACAAAGTTGATGCATTACAATTTTACAAAAGAAGGTTATTATGATAGAATTAATGCATTACAATTTTGCAAAAAGACGTTACTGTAATAGACACATTATAATTTTGTAAAAAGTGACTATTGCAATTGAGTTGATGTTGTGTTATAGCATAACTATATGATGAAAATATAATCAAAAATAAAATTTTAATTAATATATAATCATCTTGCTTCAATAATAATTCAAGACATTTAAACATGGTTTTTATAAAAGCCTCTTAGTTTATTTTCTTTTCTTAATAGTTAGAAGATTAAAGGTTGCTTAATAATTTTATCTTCTAGGCTGTAGAAACTCTTTTACGACCTTAGAAAGGCCATATATTAGTAAAAATATAGTAGAAGATATAAGTAATTAATATGGTTGATATTAGGATTAAATTGAAGGTAGGATTGGGGCTAAAAAACCCCAGGATAAATTGAATTGATACTTAGGGGTGGATCATTTATGGAACAAGGTTGAAATCATACTTCTAGCATCTAAAATAGCTACTTAGGGCAAAATATGGAGGCATTTGGAGATTGATGACTTGAATTGATGAGCTAGCTTTGAGCTTGTTTTAGAAGCATAAGGCTTGTTTTCATAAGATTTGAAATAACTTTGCAATTGTTGTTCAAAATCAAGATTTGTATTGGTGACTTTGAATTTATGTAATACAATTAGGGCTAGCACTCTTTGCTAGTTTGTGCAATTGGTATCACATCTATAATTCAAAACATGACAGTGCTTGGTTAATTGGGTGTGCTAAGTGTGTAAACAATTTTGTATTAATCTAACAATATAGTTGAGAGATATCTGGTTTTTGATACTAGACGGTATCAAAAGTTGGTAGTTTAGAGTTAAGTAAGGTTTCTATGATATTTGAAGTTCTGTTAGTCAAAATAAGATGAAATTTGGCATGGATTAGAAGACTTGAAGATCAAGCTACATATAAATTTTTACTTGAAGTTAATGATTGAAAAAAGAGAAATTGCTACTAAGACATTTGCATCAACTTTTGAGTTGGTACTTGAGTGATATTAGTGAGGTTTTTTTGGATGTTTTTTCACAATTTGTAAGCTAGATTGGGCTGATTTTTTAATTTTTTAATATTTAAAAGACTTATAGTGGTATTTTTGTACAAAATTTTGTACAAAGTGGATAATTAGATAAAGAGTTACACCTTTGTAAAGATCAGTGACTAGGATAAAGGCTTGCAAAGAGAAATTGAAATTGCTTAATTATAAAAGTAATAAGGCGATTGGAGTTTGTGTATAGTTGAGGTTATTAAAAAGAGTGTTTTTGAACACTTTGTATTGACTTTAAGCTATTTTGAATTGAAATTCGAATTACATTCTTCTTATAAAGGTGAAATCTATTAAGGTTTCTTGGATACTTATAAAAGACAACTTTGCTTTCCACAACCAGATGCTTGGTGCATTTCCAAACAAGACAACTCATAATATAACATAAGTCATAAACTTGAGGTGAAAGTTTGAGGTGGAAGGTTTGTTGAAGTAAGTCACTTAATAAAAGATATTACTTTAGATAAATTACTAATGGTCAAAAGATAGCAAAAGAGTATAAGGAAGTTACTATAGTGGCTTGTAGGATTTGTAGGTGGTGGCTAGGTTGAGAAAGAATCTAGGATTTAGTTGGATGAAGAAGAAATGGATGTAACATCAATGAAAGTTACCTCGTTGGTTGGCAACCACCACCTATAAGTAACAAGTGTTGGAAGTAAGAGTTATCTTATTCGATACTCCCTTTTGTGTGCAACCTTGCTGATGCTAAGTGTTGTGACTTCAAAGTGCTTGTTTTTTGATAGGTTATAGATCCACACATCTTTAGTTGTGAGTTTTGAAGTTCTTTGAAGTCTTTGTTGGTGTTAAGAGTAGATCTTATGGTTGTTGTTGATGTTAGGATTTGGTATCTTTTAAATCTCCTTTTGCATCTAGTTGTTCATATAGTTATGCTCTTACTTTTTGTTAAGTGCATTCATAATCTTGGAGGTTTTTAGATACCTTAGATTAATGTTTAAGGACACTTGTATTGTATTTTTTTGCTGAGTTTCATCATTAGTACTCTAACTTTGTGCTTTTATTTCCTTAAGAGATCCACTTATTGTGATTAGAGGTGCTTTGTGAGGTTAGAAGTGTTTTGTGAAAGAAGAGAGGTGATGAAAGAGATGCAAAGCTTATTCAAGAGGTTATCAGACTTGTGAGAAGTCTTATAAGTAAAGTTGAGAGCGATTGAAGGGTATAAACAATAGTTTACTCATTAAGAAGGCATTCTGGGTTTCTAAGGCATCACATCTTCTTATTGATTTTGAGAGTTCATTCTTTCATTTTTTTTAATTTTCTTTGATACACTCCTTGCTTAGACATGACTGTAAGTGAAGATGAGGGTTTGAGAATAATTGAGAAGTTTAAAGGTGACAACTTCTACCATTGGAAGAAAAAAATGGAGCTCTTGTTGGCTTTATTAGACCTTTGGGACATTATTGATGAAAGTGAAGACCCTTCAAGTGACAATGTTGAAGTGAAGGTGAAGAAGGAGTATAAACAATGTGAAAGGAAGGCTTTTGGCATGATTGCAACAAATCTTGATGATACCAATTTTTCACATGTAATTGTTTGCACTGGACGATCGGAAGTATGGAAGATTCTTTGCAATATCTATGAGAGTAGAAACCTTGCCAACATTCTATGGACAAGAAGAAAATTCTTAATAGTAAAGATAGAAGAAGGAGATGACTTCATGGCTCATGTCAACAAAATAAAAGTACTTGCAAACTAACTAGCAGTTGTTGACACATCAGTTAATGATAGAGAAATTATGTTGACATTACTCATGAGCCTTTCAGAGTCCTACAACTACCTCATTGTAGCATTGGAGTCCATCAACATGAAGGAGCTTACTATGAACTATGTCACGTCAAGACTTGCCCATGAAGTAACTAAGAGAAAGGAAAAAGATCATCAAAGTGAGGATTTCGCTCTATTCTGAAAACAAGGCAAAAGTAGCTATTCTCACCAAC